CACCCCACCCCAGCTGGGTTCATGCTGTTTTCGAGTGCAAGACTGAGAGGATATGGGGTGCCTGTGGACGATGCCCTGCTCGAGCCGGCTTTTGTGGTTTTCTTGGAGGTGTGCTTGGTGTACCATCAGACTGTTCTCTACCCTAGCCAAGACTTGTTTGCTCTTGAACTGGTAAATTTATAAAGTCCCTGTACACTTGCAGCTGCAGACCGAAGTGGGATGCATGAAAACTGTTGACCGCAGGACGGGACAGCGAGCAGCTGGGTCTTGCCTCTCTGCCTTGCTGGGTCTCAGAGGATTTGACTTCTTGACTCGCCCCATCCCTTCTGTCCAGATGTTGGTGTTCCGGAGACACTGCCTAGATGCTGGCCGGTCTAAGTGCTCTGGTCGGGGGGGACGTTGAGAGGCAGATCAAGAGCTGAGTTGGAATCGTGGCCTCCCTGCAGTGAGATATGTGATTTTGGCAAGTTTTTAAGACTCTGGGGACCATAGTTTCCTCATCTGTGTAGAAAAATGGGGTGTTGGATTTCAATTACTTCTAAGGTGTTTTCCAGGTTCAGTTTTAAATAAAATTAAGGGACAGTGAGAGGCTATCTGCAGTATTTTACTGCCTCTGGGAAAGTCTCGACTATATTATCCAGGATATATCTCCATCAGAGGAGCGTCTGCATGAAGAACAATCAGGCAGTGTGTTGTTCTCTTAGGGGAAAAAAAGGAGAAACACACACACACACACACACACACATACACACACACACCACCTCCAGTGTCTAAACTTGGGAGTGGGAAGATGAGAATTCAATCACTGGTTGGGAGTGGGAACTATGTCTTCAGGATTCATTAAATATGGGAGCGTTCCCTGCCAATGCTTCTCTGTAATGTCTGCATTTATTTTTATAACACAAAGGGATGTTTTAGGCAACGGAGTTTAAAAGATCAGACAGCTTTCATCTACACACTTTGGTGTAGAGTATCTTTTTCCTGAAAACTTCTATGCTAAGAACCACTTCTATACTGTTTGAAGATCTCCGTGTGCAAAAATTAAGCAGTGGGTTCTTAAACATTTTTGAGGCATGTGACTTTTGTTCAGTTATTGTCAGAATTCTTACATGCATACTTCAAAATCAGTAACCTATATATTGAGTTTGCAATAATCCTCTAATTACAGATTCGAGGGAAAGTTAAAATTGCTTATAATTGGGAAAAGTCTGACTGGTGAACCGTGCCATTCTTTCATCGACTCCCTGTTATAAGCAAGCCCCACCCTAGCCTTAGAGCTGCTTGGAGAAACTCTTTTAAGATAAGAAAAATCTTTGGTGATAAGAATAGGCAAATAGTAAAGTTCCAAGTTTATGTCAGAGTTAATCCCTAGGCCTTGGTTCTGTAGCTAATACTGATTTGCCATTTGTCCAGTGGAGTTAATCAGTGCTGCTCAAAGGACCAGGTTCTAGACTCTGCCCAGGTTGAAGTCATGGCTCTACCATCTACTTGCTGTGTGACCTTGGGGCAGTCATTTCTCTTCTCTGAGCTTTATGTTTCTCATCTGTAGAATATGGTTGTTATGATTTAATGTGAAATGGCATGCTGTACTTGATTTATTGCATAATAAAGGGCATACTAAATCTTAAATGCCATTTATTATTATTATTATTCTTCTTCACTGTGATTCAAGAAAGTCATGCGATGTTTCAAAATTTTGATCTGTCCTACCTTTCAAAAAAGTAATGATGAATATGCTGGCATTATTGTAAGACTGATATTAAATCAACTGTAAAAGTAGTACTCAGAGCAATTTGAGAATTTTGAAGTATAGATTAAAGTAAAGTGATTATTATTTTGATTTTTATCCTGTCTTATGTTCCAGACCTGAAAAATCTTCAAGGGAGATAGAATGACAGCTTTAGCTGTCACTAGATGCCTTAAAATTTTTTTGAACATCACTTAAAAGTATTAAAAAAAATAAGCTGTATCTAGTACCCACAGCATCAGTCACTTAATAAAAGCTCGAACTTACGGTCTTTTTCTTTGTCAATTATAAACAATTTCACATCAAAAGTTAAATGAGATCATGTATGTTAAGAATGTCTGAGCCTAACTCCCCACAGTGGGAGAAGACCCCGATATGTGATGTGTCCAAACCTTATGCAGATTAAAACTAGTAATATTTCCACAAGCTCAGAAAAGCTCTATCAGGGAAGATTATCTAGCTCTATTTTGCAGTATTGAAATACTCAAATAGATTCAGAAAAATAAATATAGAGAGATATTCAAATTTATTTTCTATTTAGAAAATTCAAATTCAATTCGGTTTAGAACTTTTAAAAAACCAATAAGAGATGAACATGTCAAAAGAAAAAAAGTACAGAAAAATGTAGGAAAGGAAATACACATAACCAATACTCACAGGTAATCAAGGGAATAAAAACTAACACAAGGGTGCGATATATACCTCCTACCACTTTGGCAGAGTACAGTGAACGATGAGGCCATCCAGGGTCAGTGAGGGTTGGTGGAAATAAGTATCTCATATAGTCTAGTACTAGTGGAGTTGCCTCTGGGTAGTGAGATTATAGATAATCTTGGCTTTTTTTTTTAACTTTGTGTATTCTCTAAATATTTTTAAAAGATGCATTCCTTTTATAATGAGAAAAAACAATAAAATTACTTTCATTTTCAAACAGCATCCTAAAATGTATTTGATAATACTGTGTAAGTAAAACACTGATGCATAATTTTGTTTTCCAGGGTTTTTGTTTATTTGGTTTTGTTTTGTTTTGTTTTGGTTTGGGTTTTTTTGGCTACAACCTGTGCTGAGTTTTTAGTTGGGAGAGAGATGTTTGGATGAATGTAGATTCATTACATTGCCCCATTTCTCCCTGCGGGTGGCCCTTTAATGTCCTAAAATTTATGTACCCCTAATACAGTTGCTTTGATGTAAATTTACTTAGAATTTCCTTGAAGATGAAGTTACCTCTATAAACAGAATTAATTAAGTGCCAAGAACAATTTGCCTTGTTTACATTTTAAGGAGAAATAGAGTTAAAACGTAAAATATTCCTACTGGGTAAAGGCTGGATCACATACTTAATTTTGGGGGCAAAAAAAAAAAAGAGAGAAAAGGTTTGGGTGCCCCTTGGAGGCCTATCCAGTTATGATAATCTCTCCATTTCAGTGGTTTAACATAATGTACATTAATTTTCCACTCACAAAAGGTCCAGTCGACATAGGTGTGGGAGGAGTATCAGGAGGAGGCTGCCCCACGCGGTCACTCAGGGGCCCAGGCTGATAGAGGACGCACCATCTTTACCACAAGACATCCAAGGGCACGAAGAGAGGGCGGAGGATCGCTCTGGCAGTCAGCTGAACCCGTACAATTCATAATGGGCAGAAGTGGTAAATGAACTTCAAACTTCCTAATTCCAAGAATGTCTACTTTGCTACTCCTCCCAGCCTCTAACCCCATTTTTATGTGTCTGCAGGTCGCTGCTTCTCTCAACATTTCCCCTCACTCTGCTCAGTTCTCTTTACACCTGCCTTGAGTCAAAACCCCACCTATAACTTTTCAGTTGAAAAATCTCTGAAGGCAAAGCATCTTGCTGCTTCACTAGAGGCACTGCCAGGCATTTTGCAACCTCTAGCTTCTCTCCTGTCAGCCTACATGATTCAGTTCTACAAAGGTTCATGGTATTCCTGCTATAATAATTAATAGCATTTATTGAGTTTATACCACATGCCAGGATGTTGCTTAATGTTTTCCATGAATTGTCTGAACCAGTCCTTCAAACCACCTCCATTTTACAGGTGGAAAAACTGAGGTTCATTGAAGTGTATTCCCCAAGGAGACCCAGCTAGTCAGTTGCAAGCTAATGTTGGAATCCAGACCTTTTATCCTCAAAGCCCCTGCTTCTTGTGGTTTCCATATTCTGCAGGGGAAGTGAGGTAATGTCAGGGTAGAATGATTATCCACCTGGAGTCAGAAGTGCACCCTGATGTTGGCAATTCACATAACTCATTTATACTTGTACAAAAATACTTGTTTCCCCCTCAAAGGGCATCAAACAAACCCTGATTAGGAGGGATTCAGATCTAGCACCACACGGCCTCTTGTTTTCATATGCAATTAGATGCTCAAATTTGTTCAAAATTCTTCTTATGGAAAACCGTTTTCTGTATAGTATAATTTTCGATAGTTCTCAATGGTGAGGTGAAATTGGATCAGCACATCACCTGCATTTATTTTCTTTTCCCAGGCAGTTTTGAAAGAAGTGTAAAAGATTTTTTTTTAATGTTAATCTTCAAAATTCATTCTTCTGGGGCATATAATCCTGAAGTCAGCTTAACTGCAACCAATACAGAGTTTTCATTTCTTCACAAGCAAACAAAAACAACCAGCACAAAGATAATTAACTAGTGTAAATCTCTTTCTGCTGATCTCTTTTATATATAAACATTTTTTTTGGATCTTTTTCTTTTAGTTGAATGGAGTTTTGAGAGCTAAATTTTGAAGGGATGTAGGTTTTCTATACAACATAAGAAAATGT